GGGAGGGGCAGCTGGGAGAGGCTGCGGCCAGGCTGTTTATCGCGAAGGTAAGCACGGGTTGAGTGAGGTGATGCCACAGAGCACAACAGCTGGCAGCGGACGCTCTTGCATCAGGCGAGCGTGTCCGGTGTCCTCCACTGCCGAAGGAAAGGTCTCCTGATGTACTGCCCATATCTGCCCTCTGTTAGTGAGGTTACTAAACACAGGAAGGGTGTGTGTACGTTCGAGGGAAGTGTTTATATGTTGGTTTCAAGAACTTGTTTTGTCTTGACCATGAGACGATCACGGATGAATTGGAAATAGGGTTACACTTGGCAGCAAAGCCTCAAGATTATAGTTCAGTCTTCAGCTGGCCTGATGGAGGGACAACAGTCGCTTTCATGTGATGCCTCATGGCGGCTTTCACCCAAGTGGTGGTGGAGTCCCTAGTCCAGAAGTGTCCACAGAAACCTACCATCGCAACAGGTACATGCGTGGGTGTTTATGCTGGAGGGGAAAGTGCCACTGACCTGCACTAATGCTGTTGGGTCAGGGGTGAAGCTTCCCACTGTTGTACTGAATCGGACACCCAGATCCAGCTGGTCTAACACCCTTTCTCTTACATGAGGTGACATCAGTTGCTACAAAGGACACAAAACCTGTGCCCTGAAGCATGACGTTTATATCCTTACAAGAACCTCTTCTTTGACAAAATGTATTATAAAAGTCTGATCTTTTTTCAGTCTTACTATCCTTCCCCCTCTCTTTTTTTTAAGCCTGTGAAAGTGATGCCTGTGGATTTACTGGCATTTGGTAAAGTTGTGATAATATCATGACATACTGCCAGCAAAAGTACTGACAAAACAAAACATATGAGAGAGGACAAGTTGTGTACTGTGGGAAAGAGAACGAAGAGTTTCAGTTTTCAATGCTGTATGAACAGACAAAAAGAAAATTATTTTTTTATTTGATCAGCTTTTTAGTGTTATCTAACTGCTTTGAAAACTAAAATTCAGTTTTAGAAAAAATAGTTGGTTTTGAAATAACACATACAGAGTTATTATAGTAGTCGTGGTGGTCTGGTTTTCTCAGAGAAAATAAAAACAACTATTTTTTATGTTTTGCTAGTATTAAAAGCTCTTTATCTTTCACAAAATTGGAAAATTATTATGTCACAAGCACAGAGCTACCTGTGGGAGTAGAGGTTGCTCAATTAGGTTTGCCTAATGTCAGAAGCAAATTATAAGCACTTCAAAATACTTTAAAAAGAAAGCCCAGCACAAAGGTGGGGTTTTTTTTGTATCTTTTACACAGTTTTCCAGCTGTTCTAGGAAAGCTGCCCCAGGTACAGAGCAAGGTCTGAATTCAGGTGGTGTAATTCCACATACTTTCTCAATAGTCCTTGTTTCCTACACTGAGACTTTGGTGCTCTGGTGTTAGAGGCTACAATGTGGGATTAAGTTGACACAGGTGCAGCAGTCATTACTAGTATGGGAAAAGAATTACCTTGCTTCCCTGAAGCAATGCAAAGGTTTTTAATGACTAAGGGCAGAGGAAATGATTTATGTTTCTTTGTTGCTGCCTTTTTTTCACTTTTTTTTTTCTTATCCGCAGATGGAGGCTTATGAGGTATTTTGACTGTCTCATAACAGACTGTGTGTCTTCAGAAGCCTCAGTCTATAGTAGAGGGTGCTCAGGTCCTTCTGTGGGGTACGTATACATGTGTGTGTATGTGAAGGAATGAATGCTGTTTTTCATTCTGTAAGATCTGCCTTATAATGGACACATCTAAGGAACTAATCAAAAGTGCAGGGAAGCCAGTAAAATCAATGAAGAAACAACAGAAATACAGTTTTGAGTGCAAGGATACTAAGATCAGTTTTGTCAAATAGTGTCACTTCTTTAATTAGAGAATATGATGGAAATCAGTCACAGAATTGTGGGAGAGGTGTTGCCTATGAGCTTGCTGTATCTACCCATTGTTTAAAACTTGTTGAGTTATTAGAAAAAATTGGTAACTTTTAGGAGTTTCCCTTTGAACTAATGGTTCTGATACCTAGAACTCCTAGTCAAGATGAAAAGCATAATCACACAAAAGCCTTAGTCTTCAGAGCAAAGAAGAGACATAAAGTGGAACTGAAAAACTGAACAAATTCCACATGCAACATGAGTAGTCATGCTGTCATAGCAGCAATGTCACACGTTGTAGCATTGAGTAACCACCAAAGAACTTGTGTTTGTGCGGAAGCCACTTAGGTGAGAAGTCAAAATATCACAAAGAAAAAATGAAAGATTTGGAGTGATAATCATGTATGGAAAAAACCCCAAAACTCAGTTAATTTAAAAAAATACTACATTAGAAAACATGGACACTGAAAATGATTAGGATAAACTTTTACTTGCCTCAGAGTAAACTTTTTCTGATTTTAATGTTGTTACAATTTTTAGAAGATTAATACTGAAATAGGTGAGTCAACTACTATATAGCTTGATTAGTTGAGCTGCAGAACTAACTGTGGTCTTAATTCTAGTTTGGTGAATGATTTAAATTAAAATACTTGATTTTTTTTTTTTCCTTCTTCTGTGGTGTGGTAAGAGGCTCATATTTATTCAGCATGTCTCAGCTGCCACGTGATATCCCTTATAAAGCTCCTTTAGTCAGCTGATGGTTCCAAAACCTTACCTGCGTTGCTCAGGGGCAGCTGGAATATAGGCAAATAAACTGCGCAAAGGTCTCTGCTATATGAAACTGTGATTTTAACACCAAAATGCCCATGTAGGCATGTGAATTGATGGGTATTTTCTCGAGGTGCTTCTATGAGCTCTGCTTCCAGAGGAGCTATGTGTTCAGCGGGCAGTAAAAGTGGATATACAGCCAGTTTCGGAAACTTTGGACTGCTTTTAACATGCTGCAGGTCTGAAAAATGTTTTGCATGTTAAAGTCCCATTAAATATCTGAAGTTCAGTAACATTCTTGATTTACTCAACAGTTTGTCAACATTTCTCCTTTGTTGGGAAATTTGGCTATGGGAAAACTTTCTTGTTGCTTTTTTGCTTAATTTTTGTTCAGCTGTCATGCTTTCAACACATAAAGTGTTTCAGGAAAAAACTCACTATTAGACTAAACTCTGTCTGTGTGCCAAAATAAAATCATTATTAATAGACAATGGAAGTAGACTGAATCAAATGTTACATAATAGTCTTTAATTAATCATTAGAAAAGAAAAAATATACAAGGAGTAAGTTGAAAAAATGTTAAAAAGGAAGTGGGGAATTCTGTAATGTAATTTGAATAGAAATGGCATTGTAAGTAGACAAAAAAAATTTATGTTTTAAAGTGTATGATATTTTCCTGCCCACATATTTTCATATAAAATCATCACAGATAGTAACAGAATTGAATTTATTTTAGGAGTTCTGGTTATTACTGGTATGACTAGCAATATTGCTAGTACTTCGGGCACATTTCCGTTGTACCTGATAACACATCTTGATGAATGGGGCATTTCCCTGGGCAGGGGGAATTCTCTGGGGAGTGAGAGCAGTCCTCCCCAGCCCCCTGCTCTTCTCGCTGTATGACTGTCTAGGAGAGAGCTGCAAACTGCCACTGCCAGGGGATCTGATGGTGCGCTGGCATGCGAGGCACCTCTGCACTCCAGTAGGACATTATCGTGCCAAAAAACACAGCTCTATAATTTACTCCACAGTCATGTGTTCCATATTAGTCAATCATGCTACTGAAGTTAGGGGGTTTTTTCCTGTTTAAACGATGCTGTTAATCTTTATAGTACACTGAATGACTTTTTCCTCTGTAAGAACATTTGTCAGTGCAGCAGTACGTAGTTCTATTTTAGCAGTTATGAAGTCTGCGTTAATAGTTAAAATACTTTTAAGTTATTTTTTTCAACCCATTTCTTTGGACCAGTATAGATTAAATTACCTTCTTCCTCAACTGTTACTTATACTGTTTTTTCTGGGTTTTTTTGTTTGTTTTTTTTTTAAGTTTGGCAATTCTTACTTGCCTTTCAGAGGCCAGCAGCATAAAAGGGAAGTTCATACAAGAGCACTAATAATAAGCTGTGAACATATTTTCTTATTTTAGAGCCTGTAAAATAATTTTCACTATTTCAGGTCTTACCTGATGAGTTACAAGTAGATAGCTAAGTCAGACCCTATGCAGAAAAAATGTTAGGAATTAAATTGCTCTTGGGCACAAAATGTGGCACCTTCACTGAATTAAACTAATATCTTTTTAGAACATTTGCTGGATTGGTTTTAAAGGGAACTTTAGAATATACTTTTTAAATATTAGCAACTGGAAATTTTTGTGTTGTTTTAGCTTTCTGCAGTTGGCTGTGTGTGGTGGTTCATTTTGCTGTGACAAGGTACAGTAATCAGTGGCTGTGATGAAAGGAGAAACAACCCAGCATTGCACAGGAAGCAGTTATCTTGCAGGTCTTGTTCGAGCCTAGCTGTTCTGCAGATTTTCCATGAGAGATCTGAAGACAAAAGACCCTTTCCAAGAGTCCTGACTATAACTGTGGTGTTATCTGTGTGCCAGAAATTTCAGCGAAGTGGCAGGCTTTCTTCTGTTTCTTTTTTTTCGAGGTGTGATAATGGGACCTGGGAGTGTGTTGAACAGCTATATTCTGTTGCTTTGAAGAAAGAACTGAAGCTGTGCATTTCTGTTTGAAAGTTGAAACTTTTATCAAGTGTTAAAAGCTGTGTACCGAAGGCACCTGTGATGAAATCAGTGGACCTGTGATTTTTGCAGACAGATTAACAGTCATGGAAGTGGCTTAACCACCATGATATGGTTTCGTAGCATTCCTTTCTTTGTTGTCATACTTGGCATTGTTTTTTTTTCAACACCTTCTTGTAAAATAAACTGAAGTTTCTCTGGAAAATATACTACCTCTGTACAAATCGTCTTCTCTGTTTCTATCCTGGTGAAGCACTCCAGGAACATTGTCAGTAATTTTGAGGGGAAATTTGTTTTCTTCTGGGACGGTTACTGCACAGTCTTTGGAAAGAGGGCAGAATCCTTTATAATATGTGCTGAGGCTGTATGCTACCTCTGCAGCATGAAGGCTGGCTTGGGCATGTGATTTGAGGCTAGATATGAGTTATGATCAGCTGAAAGTTTAATAGAAGTTTCTTCTTGTACCATCCTGCCCACTATGGGGCTGGGCTTGAAAGCGTTTCCAGCTGTCAGGATAGATTAACAATTAGTAGTGCAATGCAATGGCTCTTTCATTGCCTCGTGGAAGAATTCTCCTAATAAAAGCTGAGGCTGGGCTCTTTGGGAAAGATTTTTCCTTTTTATAAATGCTTGCCATTGCAAAAGTTTTTGTACACAATGTTACTACTGTATGTAATCAAATCTGGCATGAAGTGAATTATATCACATTAAGCTTTGAATTCTGAAAGATTCCAAGACCAAGAAAAATAATACAAACCAACAAGCTACTGGATACTGTCTGTAAATCAGAAGCTTGGTTCTTAGAAAAATCTACTTAAGCTCATTGAAATAAAGGCCAATTTTTTGGAAATGATTCATGTATTAGGTGAGTCAGTTATCTTTCACTACGAGGACACTGGCTGCAAAGTCACTGGAATAAACCCCAACTTTAATAAGCCTGCAGCAAATGACAGGCTATATTTGCAGCTGAGGGCTTTTAAGAAGATCTGCAAGAAGTTTTTAAGGAAATGTTTTCTTGCCTGTAAATTCTCTGTTATTCCAGCAGAGGGTAGTTTATCCTCTAAGAAGCTGGGTGTGTTGAAAGAACGATCAGGAAAGGTAACAATGATTCCCATTTTCTTTTATTTAAGATAGGGCAATAAAAATTAACTTCAATAGACTGACCTCATCAGATTAACAAATGTTGAAACATACTGTTAGGCTGCGGTGTGTTCTTAGGCTGAAACTGGAGAAGACAGCCAAATTCAACAGTAGTCCCATTTCTGTCCTGCTACCACGCGCTTTATTTGCCCTTTAAGAATTACTGCTGTTTGCTTATGCTGAAAACAGTTGCATTATCAGCCTGATGCTTAAGAGCTACTTGACTTTCATTTGTCAGCAAGTAAAGCAGATACAACATGAAACATTTTTTATGCCAAATGCATAGAATCACTCTAGTTGAAGAGTATTCGGCTTGTTTATAGTTGCTTAAAAACTCTTTGAGATCTGGACTGATGCAATTGTGCCTGGTTTTATCTCTTTACTCTAGGGCAAGGGTATCTTAGCTGTGGTAGTGAGACACACACCACTTAAAGCCTGCTACAAAATTGGCAGTGGTTTTGCTAGGGGTGATATGTATCACCCTTCTTTCTGCCACTGTACCTGCTGCTACAGCAGCTGATGTTAAGGAGGATATATGTTTGTGGATTGTCGTGATAGGACCCGCCTGTATCTGCTCTCTGCTATACGGATGGTACGTGGTGACTAGGGGAATACTCTTCGTGAGTTCTCTGATATTTTCTTTTAAATCAGTCGTCAGGAGGCAGTCCTGCCGGCAAGCTTCTGTGGCTGTCAGTCCTGAAGTGCAGCAGAAGCTCTTCTGATGTGAGAGCATGAGGGAGTGCAGCGAACATCGAATCTTTGAAAGCATAACAGAAGGGATGTGCGGATCCGCAACTATTCTGTAACCATGGTTCAATGAAGCCCTATTAGCAGAATTTGTTTCCATTCAAAGCAGTGTTTCAGCTCCTCATGGGTATTAGCCTTTTCACCTGATTTCTAGAAAGAGTAGTTTGGTCCACTGATTTTGGAAAGAAAAGGCAAGGTGTGCTCTGAGAGCCCGATGAGGAAAACTAAGTATGGGTCTGTACTTGAGGCTGCTTTGAGCCTCGGCGGATTGTGCAGCTGGCACATGAAATTTTCCAACACAGCCATTGATAAACCACCTAACTGAACAGTAAATAACATAAACAGCAACTAATATTTATAATTTTATTCATCTTAGTCAGCAGCCTAATATAGTCAATACTATGCTGCATATTTTAATTTTAAACATCTGTATCATTTGCTCTGAAAAAAAAAGGCACTACTCCTTTAAGAAAGCTGTGAATATGGTTAGTGTCAATCATGTCCATGGAAATGCTTCCATGGCTAGTTTGATCTTGGCAGTACTATCACTCAGAGTTTTCCCTGTGGTGTATGGAGTTTTTGTTTAGTTTTGTTTTGTTTTTTACAATATATGTCTGAATCAGGTAGGCCTGTAAGTCAAATCTAGCTGTATCCCTCTGTGTTACAGCCTTTTTCCCCCTCTTCGAGTTTTGAATGTGCTTTCAGAAATGACACATCATTGTTTTCTGTTTATTGGAAAAAACCCTAGACTATATCAGGGATGAATAATGTATCTAAATTCTTTATTTTGGAGCAATACAGGTATAACCAATTACCTTGATTCCATTTTTAAACTCATTCTACATTATCAAAGGAATACAGAAAAGCTCTTATATGGATCCGTAGAAGATTTATGTCATGCTCTCCACTGATTATACAAGAAGCCTAGGCAATTAATCTCTTAAGGCAGACGCTTTGGTTAGGTATCTTACTAACGTGGGATGATTCCAGGCCTGAGTACTGATCCAAGATCGCTGTTGTCTGAACAC